CAAAATAAAGAAGTTAACAATGTCAGGTTAAAGGTTAACAATAACCAATCAAGATTGAGGTCTACAGGACAATCTGTGAGCCATATGAGGAGAAATTCAAACAATTCACTGGTGATGTCGTCCAGAATAACGACGAAATCCCTACAATCTAACCATACAACTCAGAGAACAAAACTCCACCAAAAGTCGACATTTGACAACCAACATTTCATAATTACGGAACTCGTGATTTCATAGTGGTTAAACACCCTAGCTGTTTACCGCTTTTCCTTTCGTCCCGTCAATTCATTTATTTAATTTGATGATGTAACTGTTCAGTGAATTAAATTCGCATTAGAACTCTGAGGTGAAGCCAATATGAAATTTGAAAAATTCCTTTACTTTTCATTAATTTGATATGAATACAAAATCATCGTTTAATATGGTTATGTGTATTTGGATCAAATAATATAATTTTATTGTCTGCTAAATTTTCAACTGTCTTAATTCCCTAACCTCTATTCTCCATATGAAGCTATTTGTATATTTACATCAGTCAGAAAGTATGCTCAACTTTGAAAAAGAATGAATTAGTGCACTGTGTGGAATATAGTATATTGATCCTTTTAAAAGTAGACCCCTTTATTTATTGTATACTCAACCATCAGGCGAATTCAGTTGCTACAATGCATGAAAATGTATCAAGGCCATTTTTCTTTTCCCATAATAAATCTGATACATACGATGAGAAATTAAAACAATAATGAATACTTGGGTTAAAATAGTAATAAATGATCTGAGTTTTACTAATTTCCAATCGTTCGAGTGTTTGTAAAAAAGGTTACGAGGGAATTCATACTTATCTTCAGTCAGTTGAACTAAAAACATGACTATCGAAAGTTGCCCATGTTCATCAAGATGTGTAGTGTGGCGTCGAGTTGCGGTTCACTATGATCTCCACTACAGGAAGACTACGTGCCAGTTAACCGATAAGATCCATCCGTAGGCCAAATATCAGAAGGCAGTTGGTGGCTGTAGTTGAGATGTATTTGTTAGCGATCTCGTGATATCAAAAGAATACCGAGATCGTGCCAGGTTAAAAGTGTGATTACTGAGCGTAACCGAATTCGTGCAAGGTCACAATCAACGGAAGAAAGTGTGCCTTTAGTACAGTAAAACAAACGAGTACAGTAAAACAATCATTGGTACAATTGGTTATAATAATAATTGTTTCCATTAAACCAATCGCGTTCTCTTGATAAAGTTAGGTTAAGTATTCGTCCCATACTAGGATCAAACGGTCGTCCTGTGCTTCCAGGTTTTCGATGGTGGTCTAATATTTATCCATTCATGATATCAATTTAAATCTTTTCACTGCATGATAAAAGTTCACTAAATGAATCACTGCATTCTGAAAACAATCTCGCAAAGCGGATTAAATGTTCTGCTTTCAGTCAAATGCAGTACAGTATAAAAGGTGATGTGAAATTTTAATACTGAAAAAATGTGCTATCAAGACCACTTTAACCTTCCATGTGAGAAAGTTCTCTATCAAGTTATAGGAGCTTCTATTTCATCGCACACCCAATTTAATTTATCCTAACTTTTGGATCGACAAATTAATCTCATCTTTCCATTTATCTTATTGCTCACACATGATCCCGCCAACTACACAAATTTAAGCTTGATCATGCATTTTACGTGCATGATAGTACGTTTGTGTTGGTGTATTTACTTGTATTTCCCTCGTGTTTATAAACATTGCCACTTAGAGTTGTTTATTTCTGCCCTTCCTGTCTACATGCATTTTCTTCGTATCGTATCGTTCGACTGCATTACTGAATGTCTGAAATATAGACACCTCAAATACTTTTGTACTCGACTTTTTATATCTACGTTATTATTAACGGGATTTATCGACGGAATACGTGTGAAGTGTGTAGGACACATATTTCATTAGCATCAATACGATTGGATCATAATGAAGTCAGACCATGAGCATTTTAAAGTCAAATAGTTTGTGAATGCTGTGACTGTTATGACCTTGATGTTCGACCTTTCTACCACTCGAATTATCCACCAATCAGAATACGACTTATACAAATCTTCACTCTATGCCAACCAATGACGTTCAACCGGCACCTGGTTGGTACGAGGTCCCTCTAGCCCGTCTGCTTGAGTCCAAATAAAACGCAATACTAGCTTCCGCAATATGAATATATGTATTTCAAACATACTCTGTTTATATACCAATCAGCCAGACCACAACGTACCATAAAATAGAAAATAGCATGTGTACACAAACAAGCCAAAAAGTGGCTATGAACGCGAGAGATAGTAATTAATAGACTGAACATAGATTAAGAACCGTAAATCGTGTAATAATAAATTATAGGTCAAAATAAAGCTTATAATTAAGGTAGTATAAATACATATAATGCAATTATTAAATAATTATACAATAAGAATATTTATAGAATATTAGTATATTAACAGTCTTCGGAAGTTACCTGTAACTTAATCTTCACTCAGTTTTAACAGTGACAGTACTTAAATGCCTTAAACTACTGACACACTACTTTTCAGACTGTGGTGAATAGGGAATCAAAAAGATAATTAGAGAAATATATTTAGATGCAGGCTTATTCCAGAGTGGAAAGCAAATAAGCCAATGAGAGATTCGAAGTGGGCAGGAAGTTGAGAAATAATCATTAATCGACAGTCAAATAAACAGAAGTACATTTTCAATCGAAAAATTAAATATTTAAATGTTCAGAAAAAACGAATATCTAATAGTTTCAAACCATTTAATTAATAGTTTAGCCAACTTTTGTTTACAGATACGATTGTAACTTCAAATATCAATTTTCCAGTCTTATAATAAGTCCCAAAGTTGGTCAACATTAACTACAGTTAATACAAACACAAAGCTTTTGCCTCAAGCATAGGATTGATTATCTATAACTATTCAGTATCAAGATATCGGGTATGTACCTACTGGTTCTTGAGTGACCTAGTGAAATGGGGAGATTTCGGTCACTGAGCCTATGACAAATATTTTTAGATATAATCTATTCTTAATACTTCATGACCGATGTTTAAGAAACTTCGTCTGCGTCATAGCTGGCATTCATACCATCCAGCCATCAACGTCCTGAAATCTTCGGTATTCAACCTATACTACTTGTTTGTAACCAGTAGTTACGAATATTTTTCATATTTTGCGTATGAACAAATTTGAATTGGTGGTGACGTTGACTCAAAATTTAAGGATGGGGATTCGATTCATGAAAAGGCAGAAGGGTCATGTTTTACTCTCAGGTATCAAGTTAATAAAAAAGTATACAACGATCTAACAAAGAAACATGCACATCTGGAGATGGTACAAATCAAATCAATACTGAAAATAAGTAAACTACTCCACTGAACAAAGCAATGAAACGTGACCCATTAACTGAAACTGAAGTTTATTTCAGAAAATATCTCTATTTCTAAAATTTGATTTCTTTAATCCTTGGTTGGTTATGTTCTATATCATAATTTAAAGCGAAATACCATGAAATTCTTTTTTATTTATGAACATGTTTAGTGACAAATGTATTAGTAAACTGTAGTTATTATTTCATTGATATTAGTTGATTAACACTAAAAAAGTCCTCATCTCTCTAAAATATTTCTTATTCATAGATATGTTGCAGCATTTCCAATTGGTTGAATGAAAAAAATTTCTAAGATTTATTTCAAATAAACACTCGATTAATAGTTATAATTAATTTCCAATTACAATGAAAGCGATTAGACCAAAATCTACATATATATGAAATGTTCATATGAATCAGTTCATACGATGACAACTTTTGTGTGAGATATTAGAGCTGATAAATGTAAGATAAGTTTGATGAAGTCAATTCGATTTAGGACTTATCAGATGAATGAACCGGTATCTGTATATTTAATGGGACCAAAATCTAATACTTATGGCTGAAAACACTAGACTGATATATGCCAAGCTAGTAAGTCAGGATAGCTGTCAATTATTTAGCCTTACAAGAGCTTGTACTTCTGCGATGTCAACATTCAGGAACGAATTTAAGATTCAGACACACAGGTATATAAAATGATGATGAACACAGAAAAAGGATGAAATATGTACGTTCGATCGCTTAACTATTAGACCACTGAGCCAAAATTTATTGGTGTTAATGTCTAACTCCTAACAACTAGGTCGAAACGGCCGTCCAGTGGGAGAGGACAAACCATCTTCCATCTGAACGGGAAATTAAGAGAAGACGTTGGAAGTGGATAGGACATACATTATGGAAATGACCAATCTGCACCACAAGGCAAGCCCTAATTTGGAATCCTGAAGGGGAAGGCCTAAGAACACAATACGTCAGAACTTGGGAGCAGACAGGAAATGGATGAATAGCAACTGGAAAGAATTGCCCAGGACAGAGTTGGATGGAGAATGTTGGTGAGCGGCCTGTGCTCCTCCCCAAGGTTTAACAAGCGTAACTAAGTAAGGTTAGAAAGTTTAACTCCTGTAACACATTTGAAACCTTACACTATCAACTTATTGTTCCAATTATCAGATTGTAATAATCTCAAACTCGTTTTATTTCTGATTGTTGTCAGTTGCCTTTGTTCTTCAATGTAAGTGCATGCTATGTACTTGTTGAGTCGTCAGCAAACATTTTCTCTTGTTCTTTTTTCTTCCAGATAATTTCACTTACTGCTCCTGACACTCCTCCAGCACAGAAGGTATCTTCAGACTATACGCGAACCTACCGTAGGCTAACGTTACACCCCTTTCTATGATTTTTAAATTTTTGTTATTGTATTGGGATGAAAACCACTACAAATTCCTTTATTATTTCTAAAATATCGACTAGAATTTGGTGTCAATTACATATAACAGTAAATTAGTCGTTTCGTTCTGTTGCGCAGTAACACTGTTCAAAATACTTAGTGTTACTTTTAACAAAAACGAAACAAAAGAGATGGAAAAATGTTTAGACAAATGTGAAATGTAATTTTTTATTTATATAAATAAACACATCACTATTGAAATGATAAAAAATGAAATCAATTGGTTAATATATTATCTGTATGTAGTAAAGTTGGTTTATCCCCTTTTCAGATGTTAACATAACTATATTATTTACTCTTCATAATTATTATTATTCCGATTGCTGTCAGCATTTTCAGGATGAGCATCTTCAAATAAATCACTGACGTAATTGTATGGATAACGTATTTCAATTGGTAAGGCTAAATAATCTCTATATGAAAGAATGTTTTTTCGTTGAGGAAGTTGTGAACAGTTACTAGCATTATTATTATTATTATTGTTATTATCATTTAAAGTTAACGAGATTGAACCTAGATCTTGCATTGAATTAAACAGTTCGTATGATAGTTGATATTGGTTATCTTGAATAGTTGAATTGTACTGAAGTTTACTTGAACGCGTTTTCAATCTTTTCAAATGTTGAACACACTGAAAATGTTGTAAAATATACAATTTTTAAATCGTCCATTAATTAATTTTATTAAATAAATTAATCATTACAGTTGAATGAATGTTAAACTTTGATTAGAGACTCTTTCATCAATTAACACAAGTTTGATTTATTCATAGATGTAAATCCTTTAAGTCTATGATGTGTTATTCTGTGTTAACATATACAGAACAACATATTACATAGAGAATGGAAGGTTTGGTGGGTGTTAACAAATAGTTAAACAACTGAATAAATTACAAGTCAATTAACAGGACAGAAAATAATAAACGATTTAATTATTCTTAAGTAAATAATATGGAGTTTATAGACTTGTACACTCATGACGACCTGAATGAGTGCTTTAAGGACTCAACGCTGACTGAATTCTATTCGGCAATAAAACAGAGTAAGATTCAGAGAATGTCGAGTTTACGAGTTGAATCACATTTATGAAGTACCTATTTCATGTATGACCTTCAAATAGTTCAGATTCAGATCTCAATTCACAGATGTAAGTCAAGATAGATTCAGTATTATGCCTCATAATAAGTAAAATAATTTCAGATAACAATGCACTAGTAAGAACTTACGCACAGCTGCACATATTGATAAAATGGTATTGCTTATGCTAATCATTGTGTTAGTTTCTGCTATAACTTGCGGCCTTCTGTCCTATTAATATATAACGTAGTGATACCGCCAATTAGGGAACAGTGACTTGTCGACCGGACCAATGACACAAGAACCCGTACGAGCAGTCTAGAATCCTTATCGGTCCTTCTCCCTGCCTAGCCCTGTTTGTTGAGTCTAGAACACAAATATCAGCCTCCGCGATATGAATCATGTATTTCAAACATACTGGGTTTATATACAAACCAAACAGACTACATCACATAAAATAGAAAACAACATTTGTACAAGATCTAGGAGAAAGTGGCTGTGAATGTTGGAAACTGTAATTGATAGACTAGACATAATTCAAGAACGGTAAATCGTATAATAATAGTCTGTGGGTCAAAATAAAGCTTATAATAAGAGGAACATGAATATGCATAGTTTCGTCATCTAACAATGATACGATAAAAAAATACATTTATAATCTTAGTCCATAAATAGATCTTAACAGTTAACATTCATTATTCTCGTCGGAATATATCAGTTTCATTGATAACTGATATATTTCAATATCCTAAATAAAAATATATGTATCAATATCTTGTTTGATGTAATAGATGAGTCCCTGTGACTCTTTAATAGAAAAACCTGCCCAACTACTGTTTCCCACTCCATCGAATAATAATTGAAATCTCACACAAATAAACACCATTCTGGATAGCTCATACAAGAATTTCTCCAATCCTAAAGTACTTGATCAAATGAAATTCACAATATTATTTTCATTTCAATCACCACCACCCTGCCAAGTGAATATAAATTTATTTAGGCAGCTAAAGAGAATTTCGAAAATAAATCATAATGAATTTACTCCATTACCTTCATTATGATGACTTCATCTAAGTTATTGCCACATAAAAAAGAAACTGAATCACTTTACAATAAAAAAAATTAAGCAGCACACGATCGATTGATTTGTGTTCAACGAATGCAACAGACTTTAAAAGTAAAGGTGTAAGATAGTCTTAGTAACAGAAATGAACAATAAGAACTAATTACTTACAATTTAGTAAGTTTAATTTTGTTCATCTCTTTGTAGTCATAAAACGTTTCGGTGTAATAAAATTATTTTTGACAATATTCTAGGAAAATCATGCTAAAACTATGCTGCCAAAACTATTTCAGTTAAAGTAAGTTGTCATTTCATCTTATATACAATATACTACTCACTGATGAACAATATATTTGTTGTGAGATGCTTCAAGGTTTTCAGTGGTTGTCTAACTTAGATTGATTCGTAATCTCATTAATATCTAACAATCTGCACAATCCACATATTGATAATCATCATGTGCTTTTTTAGCGGCTAACTTCGATAGAAAATTCCGGAGTTCAAGTGAGAAATGTTGACCAGGGAAGCCCAACTATGTTAGACACGAAGGTACCCACCGAGGACAATGGGAGATGGTCGCGCAATACACAGCATTGATTAGAGTTAGAATTGTACACGATGTAGATGTTAAGCATTTTGGCGCGAGACCGAAGGCCCTGGGTTCGACTTCAAGTTGTAGGGCTGTGAATCTACACGGTTGGGTAGTCCCATAACAGGATAAAACAACTGTCCAGAGCTGCCATGTTTTCAATGATTCATTAAATCAATAGCATTGAACAATCTCCACAAAACTCATACTTTTAATTGTCAAATACGTAAATATTTATCGAAAAGTTCGAACTTATTATCTTGTACGAAGTAGATGTAAAGAGACAGTATCAAACTACAATGAATTCATTGTATACCGCAAACATAATCGCGTTAATTTTTGCAGTAATTTCTGTGAAGAGAACCAACTGCAAGAAAAATATTGTCATTTATCATTTAGAATGATTATTATTAATTAACTTAAATTATCAAGATTTTCACCTGATGTAAGAATAAAACTCCAATAATAGTCGGGATAGAATATAGAAAACTGTTATTAAACATAAAACACATTGCACTTTGACATGTTGCCAAAGAAGGAAAAATGTAATGCTTATTTAGACACTTATTAATTGAAAAGAGATTCCTACCAGTAAAAAATTGAGATTAATAAATGAAACATACTCTTCTTGCTTGTACAGACTTTCTACATGCATCTGGACGCACTCTACGCACCGGTTCTTTATAATCTTCGAGAGAAGTGATCAGTTCAACATCCGTTGAATTTCCAATTAGATTAACTTTACAATTTTCCATATTGCATGATTATTTCTTACAAAATTATCATGAATTCTGTTGTTCTGTGAGATTAGAATTTGGTGAAAAAGAACAACGTTAACGAGCAGATATTAATTCAGCATTGTAAAAATAAGAACTTTGGTCTGGTAGTGAAATGATGGTAGTTCAGTCAAAATAGTTTAGTAGCAGCAACGATAAAGCTCAAGGTGTCCAATAATTTGTGTAATAAATCTCAGGGAAAAAACAACACTTTAAGTATCAGTACACTCCCTCAGTTTCCACAACCCTACACCGATCAATGTGGGAGAACTATAATAAATGTTTAGACATCTGATTATTTGTAAGTATATCGATATTCTACAAAGAGAATCTGAAAAACGGATTGAGATAGGATTACAAGCCCCTGCACAAAAATTATTGCTCTAAGATGAGTGTAAACGAAGTTGTGATTAGTTGCACTTTAACGGTACGTGATTAGTCTAAACATAACTAGACCTCATAATTTCATCGCATCGTACTAATATGATTTGGCAACTTCGGCCACGGTTTACGTCAACAACGACTGACTGGTGAGTGATTAAATCTAAGAATGGATTTACTAAACTCACTTGACTTCTGTTAACCTTAGTCACCTGTAGAACAAGCAAAAAAAATCATTTTTCAGTCGGTAAATTGAACATTTATAGAGTATCATCTGGTTGATTTATTTTCGTATTAAGGTGACATTTGTACCAATGTCCGGTAGTGACAGGTTGATTGCTACTTATGAACGGTTGAACGTAAGCTCCAAACAAAACTTACCATAAAAGTAACTTTTAATTGTTATTGGTTTTGAAATGTGTTTAATATCACACTCCACATAAACGATCCTGTCCAAAAGAATGAGGGAAACACTGCAAATGAGCATGAGCAAATCATATTAAATGAATAATCATTTCGAATTTTATTGAACGGGACAAAAACTAACAAGCTATAGTTTGCTTATAATTTCTTACTAACTGCTTGACTAGATAACATCAAACCGGTTCAAGCTAAAAACGATTTAGGACACCAATCTGCCGTTCAAAATAAAATAATCGATGTGTTCGAGTGTACAGAAAATCGACGGTCAAGGGTTCAGTACTTAAATCGATGTATTGTTTAAAATTTGCTTCTTTACACTAAACAAAGTCGTAGAAATCCACTAGTTAATCGAAATAGGGTTATACATGCTCATCCTGAATTTATTAATGTATTTGACTACCGAGTAGTTTTACTAGCTTAAATTTCGCCATTATTGATCGATTTCTGTACAAACACAGCTGACCAATGAACTGAAGATAAGGATTCATAAGAGACTAAATATGTTAAAGATCAATTTTGAGTGATGGAGGGTTAAAGTCTAGTGACTATGAACAGTAGACGTAAAATGTTTATACCGTTTACCAAAGTCATTGTTTTCCTAATGCAACTCATGACATTTCTTTAAATGATCAATTACTAAGTGATTTAATTAGCTTACTTTTTTTAGTATAAACAGATAAAACACGACTTTTATGCGAATAAGACTCTTAAATATGACAAACCAAAGCTAAATTATCGAATAATACTAGGTTCATTTTCCAGGTGTTTTGAGCGTTTATACGTATGTCAACATAATTATATTGTTATCAAACAAATTACATGTTTTGAAAATAGTATTATTAGTTGGAAATTATTACAGATATTTCACTGATTATTAAGGATTTTCGGCAGAGTAATGAAACCCTTATGCCGAACAAAACTAGTATCCGAATTCGTTACCTTGTTCGGATCAAAAACAATAATTATAGTTGACGATCGAAATTATTAGTCATATACCATTCAAAGAATTAATACTTATTAGGAAATGATGAATATTTTAACAGTAACAGATGTCCAAAAAACCGCTTTGTAAGCTATCATGTTACGGACTAGTACTGTTTTTGAATGACTAAATGTTCACGGTGGTACATGTAACTGAGTAGCTAAAGCGACATTGGATTTGTGATTCTCTTTTTAAGACCTGAATATGATAACACCGTTTAAATTCCTAAATATCTAGTTCCTAATTAAACTATCCATGATGATTACATTTATGCAATGAGGCGGAATTTTCTAAAACTATTATGCAACGTGTTGATTACATACAAAGTACCTCCTTAATATAACAATAAAATGTACAAGTTGTATTATTTCAAACAATCGGCGAACGCAAACAAACAAATAAACAAACAAGTATTTAAGTAACCTTCAAATAAAAATGAACACAATTACTAAATTTAAGGAATAGAATAGCACTTTCTTTCATTTTAACAATAAAGAAATAAAATAAAGTATATTTTATTAAAAAAATAGAAGGTAAATTATAAAACAAATTCGGAACACTGCCAATTCATTTGAACAAATGAAAAGTAACGATGAAAAGGATTGTCTGTGTACAGAATAACATTTAACTTAAGCAAGCACATATACGTATAATAACATGTGTAGTTCGAAGACAAATAATATAACAAGGATAACATAATGACGTATAATATTACACAGTAGGAATCCAGACATAAGACTAAGTATAGTATGAATCGGAATAGGATTAAGTAGAGTTAATGTCATTAATCAATAGACAGTATAAAGTACGGTTGTATTGGGGTATGTGTACACAAAAAAATGACCATATGAGTAATGAAGAAGAAAGACGTACAAAAAACAGTTTAGATTATCATAACAACAAGGTGTAAAATCGGGAACTTCAAATGACAAAGTTAGTCATCAAGATGTTTTAATGATAATGAAATGGTATGTAATTGAATATTACATAAGAATATAGACAAATTTACGGGGAAAATATCTTATATATACAGGGAATATATATATATATATATATAATTACTACACACAAAAAATGAAAACCTCAAAACATATAATACATCTTTGATCTAATTTGAAAGAATACAAAATATATTCATCTTTATACAATATTATTATTTGCATAATTTAACAAATTATTAACCAACGATCCTTAATCATTTTCGATAAGCCATGAATCCAGTGTAGACGGACGTATATGTCGAGTTTTATTACGTTTTTGATTGTTCAACTTTGGTTTATTACCAGATATTATATCGCCATGATGAATAGCATTATTATCACATATATTAGTGTAAGTCTCAAGATGTTTCAATTCAAATGAAGGCAAACCTTGAGAGATGTATATATCTGAAAAACTGTCTACATTTTCTAGATATAATTGCTAGAAAAAAAGAAAAAAAACTATTAAAATATGGAATGAATGAAACAAACTTTAAAAAGCTCCTTCTGAAATTTGTAAATGCTTTTGCACACCGTAACCACTAAATTTTAACAAGAACAAAATTACTAACACTCAATAAACATCAAGAAAACAATGGGAAGATTCGTGTTAATATTAAGAAGGGATAAATTTGTCATTGGTGGTAGGAATTATGATTAAGACGTTGTATTACAGCGTATAAAAAAGCTTTGGAAAACAGGAAAACTGATGTTTCAGTATTTTATTTTTAATCGTTATTATTCCATTTATATGATCTCGACCGTTGTTGCTACCTTGACGTGGTGGTCGAACGTGCCTATCGTAATGAACCAATCAGGTCATACTGGCTGGAACAATTGTTCCTCAAGTTCCTACCATCCCACACAGGTCGGTTGAAGAGCACTAAGAATAAAAGCAACAAATCCGAGGTCCGAAGGCGAAGTCGTACTGCTCACTGTACAGAGGTGTGACAGCAGTGAGGCGTTTCCTTCAGACAACCAGCATGACAGCGGAGCAAGCACTATTAGAGTGCATCCCCGTTAACAGTCGTTTATGTGCTGTTCGACTAAACGGCTCCGTAAAAATTTGAAAGGATAGGGACACATGTCGTTGCCTTTTTGTCGTTTCTACCTACGCTCTCACTGACTGCAACACTGATGAAGTGAAAGATTAATTTTACAGAAAGCTTTCCGAACTTCTTCAGACAGCTAAACGTTCAGATATAGTACTCGTAGCAGGTGACTTTAATGCCCAGATAGGTAGTTGAAACCAAACAGAAAGGCATTTAGGTGGATATTTTAGTAATCCGGCACAGCGAACAGATAATGGTGATCGTCTGTTGCAATGGTGTTCAGACAATCGTTTATATTTAGCAAGCACAAATCTTAAGCATAAGGAGAGACATCGTACGTCCGCCAAATCTAGCTGAAGTTCAAAAGGCTGTAGTTAATCTGAAACGAGGAAGGGCAGCTGGTCCAGATGATTTTAAGGATGGTGGTACAATTTTGGCGATTAAGTTGACTAATATTTTAGCTAAGATCTGGGAATTAGACTTTATCCCATCTGACTGGTCGCGATCACTTATCGTCCCAATATATAAGAAAGGGTCAAAATCATTCTGTGACAACAATAGCGGGATTAGTTTAACTAATATAGTATCTGAAATACTAGCCTCGATAATTATCGGACACCTAACTAAGACTCGTGAACTGCAAACACGAGAGAATCAAACTGGCTTCAGACCTGGTCGTGGCTGCATCGACCACATATTCACCATTCGTCAGGTTCTAGAACACAGGCATACCTATCGGCGTCCGACAATGGTAGTCTTTCTTGACTTAAAAGCAGCATTTGACTCGGCAGACCGCGAGATTCTGTGGCAGTGTCTGCCATTGAAAGGCGTACCCCAGAAGTACATAAACCTTGTAAAGGCTCTTTACTCGAACATCACTAGTCGAATCAGAGCTTATGGTCAACTGTCATCTGATTTTGCGACTTCAAGTGGTGTCCGTCAAGGCTGTCCACTTTCTTCATTTTTGTTTAACTTCATCATAGACTTATTGATGGAAATAACATTCTCGTCGACTGAACTTTCGGGCATTGATCTCCTACCAGGAAGTCCACTTATCGACTTAGAATACGCAGATGACATAGTCCTGTTTCGTGAAGACGCTGATAGAATGCAGAGTCTTTTGGTAGCACTGAGCAACAACGCCAGAATGTTTGGGATGCGTTTCTGTTCCTCTAAATGCAAGTTGTTGTTGCAGGACTGGCCTGCATCAACACTTAAACTAAGGATAGGGAGTGAAGTAGTCGAACGCGTCGACAACGTCACTTATCTTGGAAGTCTGATCAACCCTAATGGGTTGGTGTCTGACGAAATCTCAGCACGGAATCGAAAAGCTCCTTCGGCTTTTGCCAACATACGTCACCTACGGCGAATGCGAGATATCCGTCTATCAATCAAGGGACAAGTATACTGCGCGACAGTTCGTTCTATTCTGCTTTACGGCTGCAAAACGTGACCATTAAGAGTTGAAGATACTCGTAAGCTACTAGTATTTGACCACAGATGTCTTAGAAATATTGCTCGCATCTGCGGGGATCGCCGGGTAAGTAATAGTGAAGCTAGACGCAGGGTATTAGGGAGTGATGGTAAATCAGTTGACGAGGTTGTGAATCTTCATCGACTGAGATGGTTGGGAGAAGGGTAGAAGTGGTCAAAGCAAAACACGGCATCAGTGCTTGAAGTCACTAACTTCTAGTCTTAGCCATGTTTGTAGATGCAGACTACTCGGTTGGAGTCCGTGTGACTATCGTAACCAATGGTTGGAGACTCTTGGTGACATGGCGTAGGTGTATATACTCTTTGTCTTCCCTTAAACCGTGATATTAAAATTACTTCATACCTTTCTTTCTATGGACTAATTCTTTCTTCCTGCACTATATTCTTATATGCAATCTTTCTTTTATATATTACCACCATTGAACTAACTACTTCTATGAATCCAGTGTTCATCTTGATGTGCTAATGAGGTATGGCAACTTGGACCGACGCACATATGTGCCTGGTGCTACGTTGCAGCTGACTGACCGATTTATATGGAGATGATAATATTCTCCAAAATTATTCAGTGATATTATAACCAGAGATGAGAGAATTGAGTTTTCAACCAGTGGCTTGATATGCTACTCAACCTATTTCAGTTTAGCCAGTTATGCAATATCGGTATCATCATTATCATTACGCATCCCGGAAATAATTGAAACCCTAGATATGAGTATGTTAATCTGTGCTTGGTAAAGAAGTTATAAATGTCAATGATAAGGAACAAACAAGGAAATGTCGTTTTAAAAACTCACTTTCTCATTAGACAAATGCAAAAGACAATTTAAAGCAATTGATATACTAAGTTCTTTAGCCATTTGCCAACTTATACGACCTGATAAGTTGTCAATAACTTCTGAGAAACCTCGAGCACCGTGAACTTTAGGTAGACATGATGCTCTTCCACTGTCCGACTCAATAACGTCCTCATTCATCAGGTATTGTTTTTGGTTTTCGTTTACATTGAGTGATGTTGGATCGTCCACTAAACTATTAGTATCAGGAGCTGAGGCTGTAGAAGCAACAGATAATGGTGACTGAGATGGAATATTTAAACCAACGTGAGGAACTGTATGTTCGAGGAATCCCCACATAGCACACTTTAACCGTTGAACGTTAATCATTTTCGCAGTTCGAGCGTAACCAATTTCAATGCGAGCCACTTTATTTGGTTGTGAAATTAATTCTATATCAGTCAATTCACCATCATTATACCCAGCGTTCTAAAAAAAATGAGATGTTATAAGAAACGATCAATTATTGAAGTACGTTATTTCTCATAGGATTGAGATTATTCAGATTTTATCATATATCTACAAGTCGAAATATTTTCAGTTTGACAATTTTGCTTTATTCAGGTATAAAGTTGAATGTATTTTAATTAATAGGAGAAAGCGAATGGAACACAGAATGTATTGGAAATTAATATGGCGATTAGCCTTAAGAATCAATAATTACTGCACAACCAGAATAAATGGGTACACAAATGATAAAGTATTATCCTTCGGAAATGATTGTAACTATTCAGACTTAGGAAAAATTAAGAGATTAGTCTTGAAAGCCACCAAAACTATCATGGAGGAAAGAGCATAATTTTACTTTCCAGGTATTAAGTAGTGTGAAAAGCAAAAAGTTTACAAGAATAGTTTGACCAACTTCTGATAAATATTTAGTATGCACATTGAGTAGAAATAACGATAATAGCCGACAACTTATAACCAATATTGAGAACGATACAACAAAACAGACTACTGTAGTTGATAATCCCAGAAAGCAAAGTGACCAAGCGCAACGAATGCTATACAAAGACGGAAACTTCAGTAGAACCACATATATGCAGATACTATATACTAAACTTTAGTCACTAAATTACGGCTAACAAAAATTATACCTATTTTTTAATAAGAACATGAGGTCTAGAAACTAAGCGTTTGTGCGTAAGACCAGAGGTCTGAGTCCCACGTGTGGAACTATGGGTGTGCACTCACAGGGAGTCCCATAAGGTTTTCAATGGTGGTCTAACATTGATCAGTTCATGATCTCAATGAAACTCAACAATTACCACATACCCTACTGATATATATATATATATATATATATATATATATATATATTTAATGGTTACCAAAAAATCACCTGTAGTTGATACATTCAATCAGAAACATTTTAGACGCTTGTTAGCATATAGAAACAAACAAATCCGTTGACGAAGTAAACATTTTACGTGTATTTGTGACCATAACTAAGCATTTGGGAAAAAAGACCAAAAAAATGTACGATGGTTTTTTCAGACTCTGCTCATGGACTAAACAAAAACGAATGGATCGCTTGGTTTCACTAACACACCTTATTCTTGCTTCTCTATTACGCACTTAGTATTAATGGAATACCAGATTGTTTTGAATCCCATAAAACAAATGTTGAACAGCATTTCTTTGATCGACTTACTTGTGTAAAGGCACATTCGAATGGGATTATTGCGTCATCATCATCGTCGTCGTCATCTTGATGGTTCCTCAACTGGTCGAGTCCGCCGTCAGCATCTTCATACTCATTGTCAACAGGTCGTTCTGAGCTACCAACAGTTAGAACTGCACATAATTCATTAGTTCCAACCATATAGTCTGCGTTCTCACTCTGACAATTAGAAATAAGGAAAAACGATAAATCTATTGGCATGCACAGCAAATAGTTCGCCATGAATAGCTCAGTGGTAATGTCTCAGATTTGTGAAAATCAGTGGTGTGGAGTCGAATCCGCTAGGGGGCAAAAATCCCCCCAAGATTGGTGGTACACCTTGTTGATGAGTACCAAGTAGCACGATACCTAGATCAAGCAGGGTTTCCTCTCGACTACTTCCAACCACTTTAACATTTAGTGCAGCAGTGACTTAGTGACTAAGGCGTTTGACTTCTAGCTTTTTAATCGAAGCTCACAACGCCGCTCCAGCTACTTAGGTCTGGGCAATCGAAGAGTATCATTAGCCCCCAAACTTACATTGTGGCTCACAGTCAAGTAACTGGTGAATGGGTGAACTATTATAATTATTATATACATCATATACTTTCGCTAAAAAAACACAACTAAGTTTGAATGCGTATGAGATCATTAGTTGTAACAACAATTTGGAGATTGATCGTACTAAACAGCAGCACAAAATAAAATGCATGGATTGTTTAAATTTTCGAGATGAGTAATGTAATGTTGGTGTAAAGGCTTAGTGACAGTAAGTCGTCGATTCAAAATACAAGTAATACAAGTAGGAGGGATACCCAGATCTCATATATAGAATCTCATAATAAGAAACGGATGATTAATAATCGATACACCTAATTCATGATACATGACTGAAACAGTAAATACTTACTGTAATGTTATTACAGTTTGTGAGATTTCTACCATCAGGGAGAATATTCGGACGCAGAATTACATCTCGATTAACAAGTTGATATAAAGTTTGGCGAGAATCAGACCATTCTGAAGGGAGCATGTTCATTTGACGATTGGCTTTCTGCCTGTAGGTTTCCTTAAATATCGTCGAGTTGGATGCAGTACTGTTTTCTACACCAGATGATAGAACATTTTTGAGCCAATCTCGTCTGGACAATCTACCACTCCTAATAAATATAATGGAAAAGATTAAAATGGTCAAAATTAAAAATTAAAAGAAACAGACGAGTAAGAACGTGAGTGAAATAAAATGAAATTTCTACATTTGTATGTCATGCAGATAATGGTGAAAAAGACCCGATAAAATAATGTGAGATGTTCACTGTAATCAAGCAAACTACTTTACAGTTGATAGCTGGAAGAAAAATTAAGCATGGTTTATTTACTATCATAATGTATGAATTATCAATGTTCTTACTGACAGAGAACTAATTAAGAAAAGTTTGTGTAATATGGTAAAGTCAAACAACATAGTCCCCTATATCGAGTAATTCAACTTAATTCTACCATATTATTCATATTTTTGTTTCGTTAGAATAAAAAAACTATATCATTTTTAGATTACATAGATAGAACGACTAACACCACAATGATTTAAGGAATCAAACTTCACCCAAAACAGTCAAAGAAGCATTAAAATTGAAAGAGATAAAAAAAGTAACAAACAAGTCAAGATAGAGTGGCATAACATTTTGGATAAATAAAATTGGGAATATAAATATCGTGTGACGCATTTGTTGATTTCACTATGCACCAAATATTCGGACGTTAATGCTAACTAGTTATAAATCCAGTATTTGTAAAGTATTATGAAATTAAAGACACTTCAGTCACATTTTTGTAGGCTAACAATAAAGGTGTCACTATTCAGATAATATAACAGCTGTTAAAATGATTGAGGTATAGTAACGTTTAGTGGGCCTTGAAATTGTGATTTTGTAGAGTGAAAATTGATTATTGGTATCAGTAAATTACTCATAGGTAAACTCTAATATAGCTCAATAATTATCTTAAAAAAGATATCTATATGGATCAACTGTTCTCTGAGACACATCACAGTTTACTACTATTTGTATTCAGCTGTTTATTGGTGGTAAATGTAAATTGATGTAAGAACTGAAGTGAATAAAATTTGGAAACAAGTGATGACGACATGGTTCAGCTCTTTTCGAGCGGACAACTACATGAAGATGATGAAGAAAAATAATAGATTATGACAACTCCGCTTCATCATAGACAATAGCAGATAGTACTCTTTTAGTAATGGTTCTGATTTCTATAACTATAAAATTAGAGGTAGAAGCGGATACTTCTAAAATCCGAAGTCTTTTTGATCTACATACTGAATGTCGGTAAATGCGAAATCTTAAACTTACTATAGTAGTACAAATATGGTGGATAGCTATGGGTCACTTTAGAAGCAAAAAATGTTTTGTATGATGTCGTTGCAAATAATCAATTTATTGGATATTATTTTAATCGTAGGGTTATCAGATTGATCATAACGGTCATTTACATTTCTAAATATTTGTCTAGCATTTGAAAAATCGGAGATTATTTAAACTCACATATGCGATCTTAAAGCATCAGAGACCGAATAAAGATTACGTAGTCAACGTTAATCCCAAACTGAACAAAATGTATTTTCTAGTGGTGAAAATTGTAACATGATGGAAATGTGAAAAGAAATCGGTGGAACGGCAATTTAGTAATCACAACACTCAGGTTTTCGGTTAGAACCTTGCGCGACCGATTTTTGGTTTATGAAGTCGAATAGAATAGCTAATTCTTAGACAATGTCAATAAAGAGAGCCAGAGTAATAAACCTGTATTTGGTAGTGGTTATATTAACATTAATCATTGTGAGAAAAAAAATCAGCTAAAAGATAACTACAAGTCATTTTAGTGACAGATTTCAAATACGAAAATAGTGTTTTTAGAAATACAATTTACGAACAATCTTTCAAGAACAAATATACCAAAATAATTGTGCATTTTAATTTATACAAAGTTAAAATATTAATATTCTACATTGAATTGTAAGAAATACGACCTTGCTACGAACTGTGCTATGCAACAAGTATATTTTTAGTCGACTAGATAACAAACTTGCCTTGTTCGATTCTCGCTCGGTTTAATCGTTTCAGCATAACAGATTTTTTGCGCTTTATCTCTTTTCGACTTGGTCATCTTTCGACTGTTTATTACCTTATCAACAATCCCCGTTTCACTTTCACCTAGTCCATGTTCAAAATTTTTCTCAGGGTTGTCTGAAATAAATATGAAATGGATTGACCGAAAAATTACCATTAAATTGAGTAAAATATTATAAAATCAAAATATTCGACAAGCGACATTAAAAAACTTAAGTGTTAAGGCATCAATTTTTTAGAGTAGTTAACTATACATTAAACAACACTGGTCGACTCCATTTAAACAAAATGATATCAAGAAAAAAGGAATTTGTTGGAACACACATGAAATTCAAAATGTCGCTATAAAAATTGAACTTCTTAGGATAAAAAAAATTGAACTGCCAATGATACAAAAACTATTTTTACTGTTGTTCGATGTACATTAAGATAAAGATAAATGTTTAGAAAAGAGTACAAATACAAATTAAAATGAAAGGGAAAACAGAATAGACGAGTAACAAGCGAAGTATAAATAACTTCTTTTAATTTTTCCGAAACGAAGCAAAATATTCACCTTCTCGATGTTGAAACGGCGAGAAAACCTGATAGAGCTCTCAGATCTATTTACAGAAACCATAGTGGAATGACCAGTTATTAAGCTTTGGCAGCTAAGTTTCTATTAGTAGAACAAAAAATCTAATCATATAATATGATCGATTACGGACAATGAAAAGAAACTGAAACTTCCATGTTAATTGGTAACTTAACGACGGTTAACTGGTCAATAGTTTTAAAACGCGTACATTGAAAGGAATCTATCTTGGTTAAATTCCTTTCTAATTAATATTTTTCTGCTATTAAATACTAATTTTGTTCATTTCTTTAATGATTATGTGGCCGTTTCATCTCCTTCATAGCATTATTATTTAAAATTGTACTACATTTCTTTGGTATGCCACTGTACCAAAATTTCTACGTGTAATAAATTGATTAAAATAAAGCCATAACAACAACTGAAGCAGAACGATATAAATTCATTATATTTTGTGGTTTCTCATCAAGTCCTTACAACCACTGATGTGTATTAACGTGTAACATTAAGGTATGATATTATGTGAAATAATTGACATAGATGACGGGAAAAACTAGATTAACACGGATTCAGTCAGTCACGAAGCAGAACCTGGTACGTATGTACATGGGTTCAAATTGCCACACCCCATTCGCACAGAAAGATGAAATTGTCAAGCCGAATCTCAGAATAATAGAGGTAGTAACAGAATCAGTGGTAATAGGAAAGATTAGGCATTGAAGATACGATTCAGGAAGATATAAATTAGTAAAATAAAAACGAACAAATTATGAGGAAATTAGAATCTCAGAATTTGCGGGAAGACAAAGATTGAATGTGCGTGCGCCGTTGCAAACGATTTTGAGCCATATCATTTAAAATCTCTAACAAATGGTTACAATAATCATACCGACCCCAACCAGGTAGTCTGCACCCATTGAAGTTTACAACACCATATACACACAAAAAATCACTGATCTCAGGTTCCTATGCGTATATATACAACGCTTAGGTTAGTATTGAGAAGGAAAAAATGCAAGCTAGTAGAGTACTAACACATTGAACGTTAAACACTACACTCGGCATCTAGATCTTGGACGCTAGCACGAATCACGGAAATTTTGAATAATGACAAAAGATTTTTGGGAGGACTAGGTTGTATGTTTCCAATATTTATTTCTTAAACAGTTAGTTAATAGTATTTTTATTGAAGTATCCTAAATTTAGGTTTTCATTTGAGTTTTGTTAAGATATCTTTGACCTTTAGTTAGTTAAATTTAAATTTATTAATCAATTTCGTATTACAAATGATATAGTTAAGTACTCAATGAGATTTATCATTTAGTGTGTTGCGTAATCACGTGAGATGCTGAAGCCCGGTTTTTATAGGACCCTGATTCGTGATCTTGGAATAAGTTAATTTTGCGTCAAATATCGACCGTTAGCGTATACAGTAACTGTATTAGTAGGTGTAAGTCGAAGTCATAACGTGGTAAAGAGGACGTAAGTTGGTGGTTGGAGGTAGTCAACAGGAAACCCTGGAGCCGGATTCCGTGCTACTTGGCACTCGTCAGCAAGGTGTACCTGTAATCTTGAGGGAACTGGTGCTCCCTGACGGATTCGATCTCGTGTCACCTAGCTTCACAGTCAGAGACGTTACCACTGAGCTATCCGAGCCGTGACTAACCTCCTGTAGGACTGAGATGTAATCAGAATTGACTGATCACTGGGTGGTGATCAATGTCATGTCACGGTTTTTATTTTATAAAGATCAATAGTCATATATATGCCTATAAAGTGAAAATAATAAAATGAGCAAAACAAACCTTCATTTAATTTAACTGTACCATCCAACTTCGGTCTTTTAGCTTTTTTACGCCAATGTTCAGGTCCTGCCCACATACCCAACAGATGATCATTTAATTTTCCAAAATGTTCATACTGTTTATCCAGCATATTTTTTAAACAGGATACAAATAATTCACCATCTGCTGTAGTAGTAGTAGTATTAGTATTAGTAGCGGTAGTACTAAATAATTGATAAAGAACAGAGTTATTTCTGTTTGAAAATAATAGAAATAAGTACACATGTACATTAAAAACATCTCAGTCTTTGCCACCCTTAATACTATTGATAATATATCAAGATGTTCAAACAGAAAAACAGAAAATTTTGTAAATTGGAAAAAGTTATTGGTCAGAAGGTATAATTTCGATAGTGGTAAATTGTTTTAAACTTGATAAGTTAATTTCGAAAATTTCTACATAGACTATAGCAAAACATAATTTAATGATGACAGTGGATTTAAACCATATGGGCTTTAACTAATCAATCAATTCTCTAACTCGGACCTTTGTGAGTTGAAATATATAAAAATAAAGAGATTACGGTGAAAATGATATTCATTGTTGTTACTCGGAAGAGGTAAATATTTACATAAGGATTCATGATAAACACTGTGCGCTAATTTAAGACAATTAAGGTTCCAATGAGTGCGGTACTTTGAGTACGACTCATAACTATCGAAGTACAGAAGTGGAAAATTTTACAGTGAAAGCTTTAGTAATCAATTCATATTTTCATTTCTTTGAATTGAAGTTATTTAAGATAAAAGATTTTTGATAATTGGATCAATTAGTTGAACGTGATACGCAGTGAGCCTTTATTTTTGTATTACCATATGACGTAGTTTTTCAGATAACTGCTGAAAAATATTTAGAGAGAGTTGAAGGATTCTATTTTAGACATAAAAGTGCACTTACAAATGAATGGTTCTCCTAGTTCATTATTAACGACAACTAAGGATGAAACACCAGTCCGACTATTGTATTCAACTAGATTCCAATGATTTGAAACCCTCTAAAAGTGTTTTGTGTCTTAGAAGGAAAGACTGACGAATAAGGAGGTCATTATATGGGCGATAGAGTAAACTATCAGCAACAGCCTACTGTGAGAGAGAACAAACCTGATCCCAGAGGAGGAAATCAGGAAGAAGTGCTGGAAGTGGATAGGACATACATTGAAGAAAGCATTCAACTGTGCCGCAAGGCAAGCCCTCACATGTAATCCGCAAGGCCAAAGGGGAGAAAGACCAAAGAATAAATTATGCTGAGAAATAGACATGAGAAGAATGAACAGCAATTGGATAGAACTAGAAAGGAAGGCCCAGGACAGAGTGGTTTGGAGAATGTTGGTCGACGACCTATGCTCCACTGGGAGTAACAGGTGTAAGTAAGTAAGAGTAAACTTAGCGCTGACAAGTGAAGTACTGAATAACAAATGAAAAAACAATTATCTGCTACTCTGACACATTCACTAACACACAAAGGACTATAAACATCAACAACATACATTCAATTGCTTACTTAATTGCTAAGGTTGGATAACTTACTCATCACTGTTTTGATTAACAGAACACAAACATGAATACACTTATTTGGTTTTTTGTCAATCGGCACATAGTTTGACAAGTTCAGTTAACTCCTATATACTTGATTGACTAGTTTGATCCTAAATATAATTATGAAACTTGGCTAAGAACTTGATACACATGATTCAATGCGACAATCTAAAGATATTTCAAATTAAATGACTTACATTTATATTTTCAACTAAATTGAACATCTATAAAATAACTGAACTTTTTTATGTAGAGAGTTTGTCTGCGAAATGTTAAAATCTATTTCCGATTGATTCTGAGAAACTAGCAATACACTGTAGAGCGAACCGTTGAAATAAATAAATTTTAGTCGCTGAGATAATTAAATATATAATTTTATATTCAATTCTGCTTAGAATTAATAAACTTTTAGAAAATACTGTGATGTAACAGAAATGGACCTATTATATTTTATTAACAGCTGGCAAGTGATGCATATATATTACTTTTCGGTAACGGGAATATTAGCCAACAGATTATCAGATCCAATATTATTATTTACAGCTTCTGCTGATGAACCATTCACCTCAACTTGCATTCCAGTTTCACACACTGGGTCCAAGTTTATGTCTGTAGTAGAGAAAAAAACATGGAAATGACAGTTAAATCATATTTACTTAAAAGTATTGACAACCTTTCGAATCACTTGATATGTTTTTATAGAATTGTTTTAACTAAATCACAGGTACGAACAATATTCTACAAATGTGACTTAACAATTAAATAGTATTACTATTACTATAAATATGGTCCATAGTATAATTATATAGGCCTGTAAAGAGCTGGTGTGGTAATATCCAGTTCTGCTTGATAAAACCAACTTCAGTGATGTCAATTAGTTCTTGGTGAGAATTTACATTGAAGATAACTTTATGGGACTAAGACAATAATATATTATAATACTTCTTCATAGTCACATTAATATATCGTTTAGTTTGGAATCACCACCCTACGTTTGTTTTAGATAGAGACTAATTACCAATACAAGTTTATTCAGTGTCATGAAACAGAAGCTTATCAGTTTTATACTAATATTGCTAAATTAGATTTCATAAAATGAAAACATTCTTATTTGAAGAGTGAAGAGAAAATACACAGTGTAAGACTTATTTAATCTGAAGTTCGAACAGTTGTTAGGAACTTACTGAATAAATTTTTTGATAGTGATCAGGTTTTATTATTCTATCAGACAAAAAATGGTTCCATATAGTAAAATCTTATCATTAGACTGTCCCTAGATGAAAATAAAACGGTCCATGTCACAAGTCAGTGAGCAAATACTAATGGACCTCAAGATATCAGCTAAATACAACCATTATTCAATTCATACTAATAATCAAATCGCTAGTTTCATTAAGATCACGAACAGATCAATTTCAGATCACCATTGAAAACATTGAGGCACTGGATGGCCGTTTCGCCTTAGTATGGGACTCCTCAGGAGTGCGCATCCGCGATCCCGCACGTGGGACCCAAACCCAAGACCTCGGGCCTCGCGTGCGAGCGTTTAGACTTTAGACCACTGACCCGGCACCCAATGGTGTTAATGTCTGAATTAAACCAATCCACGATGACAAAACGACCGTCCAGTGTTTCGAAGTTTTCAAAAATGATCTAACACTGGTCGGTTCATGATTTCAATGAAGCTCAACGATCTCCATAATCCTATGTTTTAATTTTAATAAGAAAAGCTCTATTTAAGCATTCAAACATTTAACAGAACTAGAGCAGATGTCAGGTCGTGAAGGAAAGACAAATATATATTTATGATAAGAACAAAACTATCCAGCATAAGTCACCTTTTTTGTATTTTTCATGATCCGCTTTACTTGAACAGTAACCAACAGTAAAGACTATGGTACCAGGATTGTGCTTTCATGAGAATTTATAGCCTATCCTTAAAAATTATCAACATACCATCTAACTTATAACTCACGACATGTCAAATCGACATTAGGATACTTATTTTAAGAATAATGTTATATAAGCTTTAGCCATTATATGTTTAAAATGACACTGTGAAAGTAATACTAATAATAAGTGTTTTCATGCAACCTGATGAATTTAAATGATTATTTTGTTAGATAAATAACCAAAGTAATTTTTACCTGCAGTAAACTACACAAACAAAGATTACCTTCATGAATATTGTCACAAAAACTATCATCCTGAACTGGAAGAGGATTGAATCCATTGTCATCACCATCATCATTATTGTCTTGATTAAACAAGTTAATAGGTTTTGAATTTGTATCCCAGTTCATTTGGCTATTTGACTAAGAGATAATTTGAAAACACATTATCACTAGGAAAGATTCAAAATTATCTCTTTTTAATTTCTAAGAATTTAAGTACTTACGTTCATTGCATGTTTATTTTATTCGAATAGTTTAACAGTAACTAAACACTTGAACTACATATTTTTGTGAAAAATCCTTTAATATACTGACACTTTTGTGAAAACTATCCACCAAGACAGCTCTGAAGTTAATTCGCATTATGTGTCTAGTTTTTATTGATTTTTAGCAATATGTTTGTCCCGGTTGAAATCTGGGTTTTCAGCCAGAGGTAACAAATATATCGTATGATGTAGTGATATGCAACCTCCCTAGATTTCATATACAAACTGGGATGAAACTGAAATGTCAACAGTATAAGAAGTAGTAACAGAGAACATTTTTACATTCCTGAGTTGATCCGAAAAATGAAAATCATAAACTTTTATATTTCTTGATTCCTTATGTGAAAACGCTGACAACTGTCCAGTTTCACTTTAAATATTGACAAATTTCCGTTTGTATATTGGACTTTCACCCATTAGCGCCGCTCTGATAATATGATTTTACTCACATTCAGTTGGCTAGTCTCGTCCATTTTATTGATGTTACACTGAACGGTGTCGGTAGATTTCGGTCATTAGGATAACTGGCTACCCACTTTTACATCACTACTGAAATTGTATTTCTTCTGTTCCTCAGACAGTACAAGACCTCGTTTGAAAATCTAGTCGTTACGTTAGGGTTACTAAGTGGATATTCGGATTCCATCTGTGTCCAGAAATCACCCTTATATGGGTACATGTGGTCAGATAAAAATCCTAAGTCTACAACTATTATAGTTTCTCTTATTACGACCCAGATGCTCTTAATGCTTAGTAGTCTTGGATACTGCTTCACTCGACAAGTCTCCAAATCAGAACACGGTTGAACAGGAACTTAATTATATTCCAAATAAACAAGGTTGAATGGAAGTAGGAACCAAAATAAGAAAAACGTTAGTATATTCATAATTTTTACGTAAGAATATTCTAGAGTCTCCTCCAAGTATCCAGCAGCGCTGACCGGCTAAGAAGCGGCCAATCAGCGTGCCCCAACACAATCCTGCATGGAACATGCTAAGCCCATCAGCGCTATCCAATAAATGAAGACTCTAGAACCTTCTTGCGTAGAATTATAAATATACCAAAGTTTTTCTTGATGGGATTTAATCTAACTTGGAATAAAATTATGTACTTGACCAAGCCGTGTTGTTTTTGTGGTTAGTCGAATGAGATAAAGCGTCGGAATGCTAAACAATAAGGGTATTCGGGTCGGATAACGAAAGACTTAACAATATATAACAGGGATTTGGAAAGCAACCCTGGTGAAAGTATGTTGAGAGTGAGACCTGTAAAGGAAATCCCAAAAACATGTGAAGTGATGACATATGTTATGTTCAAAGGATTAATGAAACGATTCGAAAAAAGCATACTACACAGAAAAATAATACAAGTATAATACTTAGAGAAATGTTATATGATACGAGCCATCTAACACTTTGAAGCAATCAGGTTTATGGCTTGAAAACCTGACATACTAACATCCGGAAATATAATTGAATAACAGAGTGATTAGCAAGATGTAATTGAGTGAATGTAATGATTAATCAGTATGATTTGCAAACGAAATGGATTACGATTTATTGATTGTTAACTAGTGATCTACAGAACATATAATGTAAACTTACATCAAAACTGTTCTTGTTTAGATCCCAATCGGTAAAGCGAAAGCTTTGCAACGTAGAGCATATAGATAGTTGATTTAGTGATCTTGCAAGCATTGAAGACAAAAATTCAGTAACATTTGTAACATTCATAGGAGTTATTGGTTGAGTGGTGGTCAACGTACGGAGCATAACAGGAGTTGATGAGTCTAAAATCAATTCACATGAAGCATTAGCAGTGGAAAGCTGGTTTAATCTTAGTTCAGCAGTACCCCCCTCATCGTAGGCAGCTGTTTGATGTTGAAACAAAGGGTCAACCTGAAGATACAATTAATTACGTACAATTTTAACTGTGTAAAAAGGTAAGTATTTTCCAAATTAAACCAAATAAACTCACTCACCATATGCGTGGGTATAAGTCACACTCTAAGTTTGAGGGCCAATAATACTAGCTGGCTGAAAAAACTGAAATAGGCAGAATGGGGTTCAAACCTGGGACCTAGTGATCGGAAATCGAACGTTTTGACACCGCCCCACTAATATGTTCTCTTTTATAACGTGATTTAAGCGTCATTGCGAAAGCTTAAACCACGAAAATATTTACTCGAGATTTTAGGTATTCACTACCAGAAAGCTTATACATTATTTGACAAAAAGTGGTAAAATAAGATAGGCAGGTACGAAATTTATGCAAAAACTTACATCAATCTTATCAGCTAGTGTTTTAATTCGAATCTTATTTAGTTGTTTATGGATAATATCTCGATGTGAAGCAGTTTTCTTTTTTTGCTCTGGTTTAGAATGTGAATGAGTCTTATCGTCATCATCAACATTATCGGCATTACTCTCATTCTCTCCATTTTGAGGATTGCCTGAGCGACCAAGTCCAGTAAGCACCTGATACGTTTCTTGATGTACAGCATCAACACGACCTGCGTATATTTTTGCTCCAGCATCCAACGATGAGCTGGCAATCTAAAAGTAATACAAACGAGAAGACTATTGCATAAGTTTATATTATAAGCAAATGAAGCTTTACAATTTGAGTTATGAAAAGTGAGGAAGCATTTAGCGCTTTAAAGATAGAAATGAATAGATACATGAGATTTTACTGTGTATAAATGTGTGCACAGAAAGAGGAAAAGAGAATGATTTGAAGCAATGTTAATAAAAACGGTAGGAAAATAAAAATAAAAGTGAAATTGAAAACTGGAAAGTACGGAATAATATTAAATTTAAGATGCAGAAACGAACTGAAAAACGAGTTACTGCAACTGTTTTCAGTCGTAGATTACGGTTATCTTGCACGACCCAATAACTATTATTAAAGGGAAGGTTAAAAATGACACCCATAACGGTTATCACATACTTTTTAAAGCCTTCTTACGGTAGCTTCATAAGTCACTAACTTGTGATATCTTGAATTCCGTTCAATAGTAGCAAACTGCTGGCTTCAATAACTGACTCCTTATCGTTCAATAACCTCAAATATTTAGATATTAAACGTTAACCCCAGTACATTAATTTAAGTAAAATATCTACGTTCTTATAAACCATACAACTACTGATCAGACAGAAATTAATCACAATCAACGCAGGACCTGACATTTTTACAGCAGTCCAAATTTCTATACCACATCAGAATAGTGAGGAATTGACAAAATGAGTGCCAAAAGATTTGGAATAATAGTATCAATGACAACAAGATCAAGTTTAGGGAATATGGTTTGAAAAGGAACGAAACAGAAAAAATAGTACTAGAAATCATGAAGCTCAATTTTTAAGAGGATTTCAGAATGAATGCATCTGCCCCAGTGAGGCCAATTTTTAGTTATGTAAGAAGAAATCTATGACTGACGATCACGACTATAGCTAGGACCTCAATCTGGTATTCAACACTTACAAATACAGCTCATATTTAATGATTTCATAGAATGATATCATGTCGTAGTTTAGTAACTCATGGTTTACTTTCAATCTGATTGCACACTAGTCAGAACCTAGCATCAAGGTAAGTGGTGGTTGAATATATGCCATACATGTTCAGGAAATACTAGCTGATTGTGACCCGCAGACTCATCAAATTATTTGCCATGTTTTCCTAGTACTATAGGTCTAACCTAAGGACTAATAGCTAGTGTTCCACCACACGAAAGCAGTTCTTTGAAAACACTTACAATCACGTACCTGAAGTCTACGTATGTCCTCTATTTTCACAGGCCATGTTTCACATACATCGATTAATATGGGATGAACTGCTGTCAGTCAGTAATCTAAAACGTAGGATCAGGTACATATATGCGTCGGTCCAAATTGCTATACCTTATTAGCACAAGATGAACACCAAATTCATAGAAGTAGTTACTTCAATGGTAGTAATATAGTTAAAAAACATTGCATATAAGGATATGAAATAGGATGTTATGCCCGATAAGCATAATGAATGGTAACTTTTGGGATCAGTTTACGGACCAATTCTATGCGTATATTTTTATCGTATAATTGTTAAATAACTAAACTATGCATATTCATGTCCGTTATTATGAGCTTTATTTTGACCTATGAACTACTATTATACGATTTGCCATTCTTGAATTAAGCACTGTCTATAAATTACTACCTCCGACATTCACAGCCACTTTTGGCTGAATCTTGTACAAATGTTATTTTCTATTTCATGGTACGATGTGGTCTGTCTGGTTGGGATATAAACCGAGTATGTATGAAATAAATGATTCATATCGCTGAGATTTGTGTTCTGGACTTAACTGGCTGGGCCAGGCAGGAAGCAGGACCAATAAGTACTCTAGACTGCTCGCACGGGTTTTATGCATCATTGGTCCGATCGACAATTCACTGCTCTCTAATTGGCGGTATCGTTACGTCATACATCAACAGGGCACACAGGCCACAAGCTATAACATGGGGAGAAAGAATTAGCTGGTAGAAAGAAAGGTGTAAAGTGACTTTAATCTCATAGTTTAAGGGGAGACAAAGAGTGTGTACACCTACACCACTGTGATCGATTCAAAGCCATGTCACTCAGAGCTTCTAACCATTAGTTACGGTAGTCGCGCGAACTCCAGCCAAGTACTCTATATCTGCTAACACAGCTCATATCAGAAGTTAGTGACTTTATGAATTGATGCCACCACACCGTAATTAACGTGAATTGACTTTGTGAATCCTTTCAGAGGCCATCAGATACCAATGCTCTTAAGCTGATGGGAGGTTCAAGATAATAAAGTGGTTAACGCGCTTGACTACTTTACTCTCTAATGTCAAACTAGCGACCGACAAAGACAAATTTTGAGGTAATATTTAGGGGAGAAATTCATCCTAAACAAGTATGCACGGTTACTCATGGTGTTTAGAAGACGGCATATTTTAGGCGTTTTTGTCCAACAGAACCATATCATTTGTGTACTTTAGATTCTCCTGGTAGAAGATCAACTTCTGGGAATTCAGAAGTATTATCTTTGAAGATATGCCCATAACAAAATTAAATAAAAATGAAGTGGGGGAGTTCGATCAAGATTACTTGAGGCTGCCAATCCTGATGACAGATCCGTGATTGTAACCGGTTTGAGAGATATGTATGGAACTACCTGGCTCTGGTTAGCTACTCAGTTTTACTGCTAAGACTGGACCATCAACTTGCAAGGCACATAGACATGATTCAACGCAGCAGGTCTCTCTTCTCCCGACGAAGTTTCCTTCCCAATTTTTTTAACAACCGGGGGAGGTATTGTCAGTTTTTTATTCAGGTTGTTGTGGAATGGTTGGTAACTGAAGAGAACAGAAAAACCTAACTACTATTTATGGAATGTCATCAAATGTCCCAGCTAGTCAACATTCATTAAGCCATACATTTTCCTAACTAAGTTTATTCAGATAATTTTGGCTACTGACGAAATACATACAGGGATAGGTACATAAACTACACAATTGATAGATCTATATCTTTAAAACCTAAGCTTGAAACAGCTTCAATATATATCGACCCGAAAACAAGCAGTCAGGTTGTAAGACTCAATCAGCATCTAAATATCCACTTCACAAACCACAAAAGTATTAAAGATGTCGACATTCTCATTCAGTGAATCAAACAGCATTGAAAGATTGGTGCTCTCAGCACATAATTCGCCAGAATAACCGTTGCATTCATTTGCTATACATTTACTTGACCTGGTGCGTTTACCATCACACTAGATTTTTAACATAACCGCTACTGAGTTAAACGGTTATCACTAACTAGCTAAAAATACTATCATAATATCAATGCAGTTTCAGTGACTAAGTAACGTGATTTATTATTTTTCAAAACAATAGCTTGACCGTTGTGATGCAAAAGGAAAAAACTGATTGTATAGACTTTGTACAAATAAGAAAGTCGAAGTAAAAGACGTATAATACCTGGAAGCTTGCGAAGTCCTCCTTTTTTATCATTTCACTCATGTAATCGATCAGATGTAAGTTAAAAGCATTTTTGGCCGTGATTTTATTTTCCGCAGCTAGTCGAATACAATTGCCATAATGTTCACCAATTTGTGCCTGAGGTATACCACGTGGAGCTGCGGCATCTGCGCGTCGTCTAGCTGCAGTAGAGCTAGCACCTGGACTATTAACACTAGCGGGATGAGGCTCAAGTAAACGTGACTTTCGTCGAGCCAAACGTTCGTCATCATCATCATTTTCATCTGAAATACAGACAAACCATGTGCATAAAGATTAAGTGCACCTTGTTTACGTATACAATAGTCATTTACAAAGAGAACAAACAAACACAAAAATATGCCCATCCATGGATGACAACAAGCGGATTTCGTCTCAAAATTTAATTACAGTTCTGAATGACGTGTAAGATTTTAATTCGTATATTTTGTACTGAAATAGCACGTGTCTTTTATCTCCCGGTTGCTAAACGAATTTCGATTACACGTCATTAGATGCCTTAGTATGAATTTATTTTTTATTTATTTATTTGAACACATATATATTGGTACAGGAGTGTGCCAAATATATATGCGCCACAAAAAACAATGAGAATTTAAGAAAAAAAATTTTTAAACAATAATGAAGAGATTGGTGTAAGGGAGTGTAGTAATAATCATAGTCATAATCAGTCAGTCAGTCAGTCAGCTACAACGTAGGACCAGGCACATATGCGCATCGGTCCAGGTTGCCATACCTCATTAGCACAGCAAGATGAACAGCGGATTCATAGGAGTGGTTAGGTCAAAGGTTGCAATAAGGATATAGTATAGGAAGAAAGAATTAGCTCGTAGACAGAAAGAATGAAGTGATTTTAGTCTCTTAGTTTAAGGGAAGACAGGGAGTGTATACACCGACGCCATTGTGATCGATTCTGAGCCATGTCATAATGGGGGGACGGAAAGGTACAATCAGGACAAATCTTTCAGTTAAGGAAGATACAACCACTTTTATGAAGTAAAAGGTTACAGCAGGATCGCCACTGGCTTCTATTCTGAGCCATATCTCATAACGTCTCTAGCCACTGTGTTGCACCATCTCTCGGATCCCAGCCAGGGAGTTGTGAAGGACCAACAGAAGCCAGTCCTTTGCAGCTTTCTTTCATGCCACGACACCATGTCATATACTGACCACCTCTCCGCTTTCTCCAACCAGTCCCAGAGTCGGCAAATAATGCACGACGTGGACTTCTCTGGGACGATATTCGGAGAACATGTCCAAGCTACCGAAGTCGGTGTTTCAAGATGGTGACACAAATTGCATTATCATCACTGTGCCCGAACACACGATGCCGAACCTCTGCATTACTGACATGGTGTTGCCACTGGATGTCAGCAATCCTTCGGAGACAGCGATGATCGAACACAGAGAGTCGTCTAACGTCCTCAACTCGGAGAGGCCAGGTTTCACAAGCGTAGAGCAAAACTGCTCTCACGGACGCGTTGTAGATCCGACATTTTACAGCCGAACCAACACCATGAAGGCGCCAAAGATGGCCCAGATTGGCATAAGTCCCTCCGGCTTTCACTATACGTGCATTGATCTCATCACTCACACCCCCACCAGCACTTATGCAGCTACTTAGATACACGAACTTTTCAAGAGTTGGAGTTCCTTGCGGACTTCCGCCCCATTTGGTGGATCAGTCGTCACCGGTCATGGAAGGCAGGACAGTTCGACCGATGTTGCCGGAGCAGCAGGTAAGTTGAACTGCCCTTCGAAGAATTCTGTCCATCGTCCAAGACGTCGATGGATGTTAGTGATTGGCATTCCGTCATCCTCACAGATTGTTTCGCTCACACCAGACTTCTTGTTGCCAGTGGCCCGGATGAGTTGGAAGAGCTTCCGGTAGTTACCAGATGCAGCCGCTGTTTCCAGCTCATTAGCACGCTCCGACCACCAGGCTTCTCGGTCCTTACGCGAACTTTGCCCAATTTCATTACGTAACATCCTTCGTTTATGGTCAAACTCACGGTCACCCGGAATAGACCGACGAGCTTCAATGAGTTGTGAGGAGCCTGAAGAAACCCAGTGCTTATAAGCGGGACGTTTCGCGAACCCACAACTGACTGTACCCGCCATTTTCATGGCGTCATGCAATTGCAACCAATGCTCATCTATACTTCTTGGTGGAATGGTAGCTAGCCTAGAAGCTAGCTCGGTTCGATACGTACTAGCAACTGAAGTTGCAACCAACTTGCTAACATCAATCCGTTGGTGGCGGTCACTTCGTTGGCCACTGAAAAGTAAGGTAAGATTGGCGCAGACCAAGGCATGATCAGAGTCCGGATAGGTACTCCAAAAGGAGCGGCAGTCTTGTACACAACCACGCCAGCAATAGCTGATCGCGATGTGATCAATCTGAGTCCAGGCTTGAGATGCAGAGGAAGGATGCCAGGTGGCACATCGGCGATGACTGTGCCGAAAGTTAGTGCTAGCCAGAAACAGGTGGTCTGTGCAAAGTTGCAGTAGACGGTCCCCGTTATCTGACCTGCGACCAACGAGTTCCCATCGGCCACCTAAACGACTCTCTTCTGTGCCTAGACGCCCGACCTGAGCATTCAAGTCTCCGGCTAGTACTGTAATATCTTTCGAACGCACTTCCTGGAGAAGAACAGTTAACTGGTGGCAGAATTCATCCTTGATCGCATCCGGGCTGCAATCTGTCGGGGCATAGGCTGAGATGACGAAAAGACATCGTTTCTCACTCCGATTTTTTCTCACTTTGATGGAACTTTCTAATCTAACAGCACATAACCGACTGTTAAAGGGAATCCAATCGATTAGTGCTGCCTCAGCGCTAGCGCTTAGTGCGACACCAACGCCAGGAAGACCAGACGAAGATGCCACAGGGTCCCCAGATAAGCGCACGTAAAATAAGGTTTTTGAAGCAACAAATGGAGAGCAAATTTGTAGTACTTCACCAGAGTCTTGAATACGGGTCTCGGATAGACAGCAAACATGAATATGAATGGTAAGGAATGTTAGCATCATTTCTATAATGTCTGTATACGGACGCAAATCTAGCCTGTTGCAGCAAAGTGCTGATTACTGCCTTCTGATGACTATATATATAGACGAACTCCGAATCCACCCCTGCTGAGCACATTGGATTAAAAATTATCTAGAAACGAACAACGTTAGTTTACTTTAGCCACTAGTGACTTAAAATGATTATTAATACAGTGGTCTTGAGTGCTGTTATAGGTATGAGGGCGGTTATCACTTCCCGGCTGCCCACACGTTGGAAGGGTTCTTCTGGAGGTACCTGAAAAAGAAATTGGATTAGAGGTCTTCTTAGTGACCTGAGAGCGTGACCACAGTGCCCAAGGGACAACTGCTTGAGGTCGGTCACACACCTTTTGTGGGTAATTTTTGTGTTAGCTTCGTACTTGTTGAGACCTTACCGACGGAGACGGATATCCGTGGGATAAGGCGAGGTGTGTATTTCTAGGGTCAACCTTTTCTAACCCCACGCCTCCCTGTGGCAAGGCAGCATCGCTATCATGCTGGTTGTCTGGAGGAAAAACCTTACTGCTGTCACACCTCTGTACAGTCAGCAGTACGACTTCGCCTTCGGACCTTGGGTTTGTTGCTTTTAGTCTTACCGCTCTTCAACCGACCTTTCTGACGTGGTAGGACCTTGAGGAACAGTTGTTTTAGCCAGTATAGCTCGGTTGCTTCAACACGATACGCAAGCCCGATCACCACGTTAAGATAGCAACAACGGTCGGGGACTTAAAATGGCACAATAAACATCCTTTAGATAAGACTGTAATTGAAGGAATGTGAGATGATTACCTAACAAGTACCACTTACTATCATCTGAACTTCGATGCACACTAATAACTGAAACTTTGCCCTTTATACGGTAGACAAAATCAAATTATGACGGACAGGTTGTCGAGCAGTGTGCTTGGAGTGGGGTAATATTAAAGATGTTTAGCGTTGTGGGAGCACAATATTGGCTCTTAACCTCAAAAACAACTTCCTCTGCATCACAAGGGTGAGAGAAAAAAACTCACTCATTTGGAAACATTTAAGGAAAAAAAGCCACTACGATCGCATTTTCATTACAGAAATCTGAGCAGTAATATAATATAGACAGGTTATGAAAGACGTTGTGACTTGACGAAGTTGACGCAGTTAAAAACTGCGCATGTACACAAGATACATAGTTCCAAAAAAACGATGGTGGGAGTTTAGAATGGGCTTGAACTCCACTTACGACACGTTACCTACGCCCAAACACCGACTGCCCCGACGTGCGGTGTTTTATGGTGTAGTAGGTTGGAAGAAAGCTAGGGGTGGCCAGACCAAAACATGGCAAAAACCCATGAAGTCAGTAACAAGTGGACCGAGCCATGTTGGTAGGTGTAGACTACCTGGTTGGGATCCGCGAGATCATAGCGGCCGATGGTTAGAGACGTAGGTGCATCCACTCTTTGTGTTCTCCCAAATTCTAATCTTTTGAATTCTTCATGTTCCTTATTTTCTTTCCAAATTTGTTTCACTGGATTAAACTCCTTGAATAACATCTTTAAACACTAATCTTTCCGATTACTGCTTATACTCTTGCTACCTGTCACTATGGGATTTGAATCGACAATTGTATCTCTGTGCTGACGTGATACGGCAACTCGAACTGATATACGCACATACGAAGTTTTACGTTGTTGACTGACTGACCACTGACGGCTATATGTAAGCTTAAAGGGATCGAGATAACTTAGTAAATAAATTTTAAACCCAGCTTGACTGGAATGGCGAATCTTACCTTAAGTGATTGTACCTCTATCAACTTCAATACTGCCTATAGGCAATGCTGTCTCTCGAAAATCGGTGAACAACTACAAATTTATAATCTACCATGAAAGTCGCGTAAAAAAACGTTTAACACTCAAAGGATGATGCTATCGTCACAAAATAATAACTCAGTGTCAAGATCCACTTCCCCTCTATTCAAAAGTCCTTTCAAAAAACGCTAAGAAGAAGGTTTTTACTTGCGTTGTTACAAAACATGGGTAAGACATGTATTTCAGAGGATATAACATATTGTCAGAAATACCAAATCAACCGGGATTGAACACATTAAAAGGCATTCAAAACATGAACCACATTTTATAAAAAGGTCAAAAAATCTGATGATAAGACAAAACAGTAGAGAAAAGTACAAAATATATACCTTCCAAAATAATCATATTCAATGACTTATGAGGGCTTGATCCCGACTTCAAACATCTTTTCGGTTTGCTGAACTCATCATCTGGAGAATCAGCTTTGAAAGAGTCGAAAAGATTGGCTCTGGATTCAGAAAGTAACATACTAGCTAATCAACATCAACAAAAAAAGGCGAAAACCCGCCAAAGTCAAAAGTCACAGTGACCGCCAGAAGCGGGCAGAGGTAAAATGATGAACACTTAAACTAAATGATGGTTGTAAACATTTTTATTTTGTTACTGTCAAACTTAAGATATATTACAAAACGTTTACCCATATTACGGACTGACATTATTGCTAGTATATTTTTAATTCTCTCACCTTTCAGCAAAGCACGTTCGTGAAATAGGTTTAATTCACATTAAAATTTGGCTTTATATAAACAATAACAGGGCAATATCACACCTCCTACTTAAAGCGACAATTGGGTTCCGATATGGATTAAAGTTATCAGGAAATCTGAAAAACCCCTTTTATGATTAGTGCTTATCAGAACCAACACTCACATAGAACACATATGTAAAGCCTTTTACAGTATATACAGTTCTTAATAATCATGACATTTAACACTCGCTTATGTATAATAAGAGCCTGAAGATTGTAGCGCAGAACGGTGCTATCGTGAAGTTTTCTTTTTAGAACACACATCTATCAACGTTCAGCATAGAATAGCAAGAAATACCATGCCTCCACGAAGTATTAATCAGACGTTCTAAGCAAACTCTTAACCATACCACTTATGCTGTTACAGTAACGTTAGACTGTTTTATATCTTTTACATTCAGTAATTCAACAATTCCAGAGCGAACATCCTCAATATCAAATAATTTCCGCATATTTTTCAAAATTGTATCGGAACGCGTGAAACTGAACTTCTATAAATCTTGTATGTCGAGTCACATATTCCCAAATTAACCATACGAGAATTTACGTTCAAGTAAATTACAACCAAATATTTCAAATCTTATTCAATTGTCGAAATCATATGTAGATAAGTGCTAAAACAAACTGGTCAATTTAATGGAATTACACGCTCAAGCATTGCCTATATTAAATGGAATATCTCTAGTCTGCCATATTAAATTCACCAACTTTTGCAGTAATATCATTTTGAAAACAATAGAAAGGATCAGTAAAAAGCTTGAAAAATCTTGTATTATTACTAATCAAGTTAATTTATTCCCAGTAAATCCTGAAAAGTATGTCACTAATTTATCTCCCATTGTATTATCTGCTAATGAAAAGGAAGCACTTTCTCTTGGTTTTAATTTCTCGGTCCCTATAACGCAAATGTCTGAATTGGAAATAAATGCCCAATTTGAAAATCTATACGATCAACTGAGTACTCTAACCCCTACGTCTTAAAATAATCAAAGCTGGTGTAAAGCTAAACTAGTGGATATAGCACACCAATTTCATAATGTTGGACCGAAGCAGAGAAGCATATTAACTTCTCAGCATTTGAAATCATTAAAAGAACTACGAACAAACTCTGATATTGTATTGTTAAAACCTGATAAAGGGTCAGGCGTAGTTATCATGAATAAATGTGGATATAAAAGTAAGATTTTATCCATCCTTAGTGATGAAGGTAAATTTATGCCTGATGTTGAATTTGGAGGTATTAGCAAACTCGAAGGAAGAGTAAATTCAAACCTAGAAAAATTGTTACGCATGGATATTATTAATAAAGAGGAATTTAATTTTCTAAAACCTATGGGTTCCGAGTACCCTCATTCATATGGACTACCTAAAATTTACAAACCTAATGTTCCTTTACGTCCAATTCTATCAATGTGCAGATCACCTACTCATAATCTGGCTAAATGGTTAGCAAAGTTGTTGGATCCTTTTCGAAGACATCTATGTAAGTATTCTCTAAAGGATTCTTTTGAACTGGTTGATCAGTTAGGTGATATTAATATCAAGAAAAAGACAATGTGTTCATTTGATGTAAATTCCTTGTTTACAAATGTACCTTTGAAAAAAATCATTGATATATTATGTGATTACATATCTGTAAACAATTTTCAATCACGTGTACCTGTAAAACTTCTTAAAGATTTACTATTACTATGTACTGACAAAGTTCAGTTCACTTTTGAAGGTGAATACTTTCGTCAGATTGATGGAGTTGCTATGGGTAGTCCGCTAGGACCATTACTAGCAGATGTGTTCATGGCACATGTTGAAAATCAGACTGATGAATTAATCGGAAACATGCCACTTTATAAGAGATATGTGGACGATATCTTAGTTGTTTGTGAGGAAAAAGAGGATATGTACGGTTTATTAAATAAACTCAACACTCTCCAAAACCATATTAGTCTCTCATGTGAAGAGGAGAAAAACGATCAGCTTCCCTTCCTAGATATACTCCTGAGTAGACGAGAAGATGGTTCAGTAAAGCGATCTATTTTTAGAAAACCAACGTGGACAGGTCAATATCTTAGTTATTATAGCTATTGCCCTGTGCAATACAAACGTGGTTTGATCAGGTGTCTTTTCAACAGACTCGACCGTATTTGTACCAATGACGCCATTGATGATGATGTTAAGCTGTTTAACAAAACGTTAATAGAAAATGGCTATCCTCTGAAATTCATAAATAGATGGAAAGTTTATGGTACAGCGAGACCTACTGTAGCCTCGGTAGAGAATAAGCCTGTCTACATCACTTTACTGTTCAGAGGTGATTCAAATAGTCTTTTATTGAAACAACGACTTAAATCAGTTATCAATAAAACGTATTGCGCAGCAAACGTCATCATCATCTATCGTTTTATTATTGACTCTGTCTGCATGGCGAGCCGTTACTTTATTATGTAGTGCACTTAGTGAATTTGTTGTCAGTAACTTGCCGCGTATCGCGTACGAACTCCTAAAATGTTTGCTATCGCTCAGTCGTACTAGAACTGGCTTCTTTCTTGATAGAGGTATTTCAGAATGATGCATACAGTTAGCAAAAGTATACTGTTCAACGGTTCCAAAATATTTGGCGATTCCGAATAAATGTTATAAACACGAATAGAAAATGCAACAGAACATCGATCCCGAGAGCTGATTGGTACCAACGATGGAGACGAGAGTATTCAGTGTTTCACTGAAAGATCAACTCAAAGAAAGACTATCACCGTAATACCGCTATTCAGTGCTATAAAGTCCGTAATTCCAAGAGCTATCGATCGATCAATATAGATATAAAATTGACAATACTATGTTCATCGAGTAGAATAATCAAAAACGTAGTAACTGATTAAGGAGTTGGTACTAATAAAAATAAAGGTACTTACAATGCCGAAACAGATTTTAACCAGGTCTCTGTAGTCAACAGGTATCGACAAACGAATATAGATAAGTTCCGTCTGCTCCAAATTACAATTTCATAGTTGCATAAAAGGTTACTTGATAATACACTTGCAAACAGGAGACACTATAGTGGTATTGGTCCCTAACCACATGGTCTTCGAAGCTGAACACATTATCACTGTGGAGATTCACGATCACCATTTAACACCAAGAGAAGGTAAGCAATGGTGAACGCGGTAACATACATTGAATAAGATGGATTGACTCCGCCTAGAATGAGTGATAATTTTTGTGCAACATATCTCTTTTATTCACATTAAATACCCTTTTTTCTCCAGCCTAAATAATATTAATTTATTCCCAAATAACAATCTGTCACATAGGGTATGCCAATTTACAGGCAAGATCAAATTGTTATAGTGGATACAGTCTTCACTGTAGTAGATTACTCAGGTTTATATTTCATAAGCTACACTGGTCATAGAATTATAGGGTATAACACTTCTCACATATGAATGTAAATAATATTAGTAAGACTCGTATTGTAAATATGACAATTGAAGCGCTTTATGGACGTTGTGTTGCGATGTACAACGGATGGTCGAGAATAAATCCACATACAGTTAAGAGCTTCTAGAAACCGCAACCATCTATCTTTCTGGAACAGCTGAAGCGTTAGTGATGGAGCAGAACGAAGTCACCCATTTCATAGTGTTTTCAGTGGCATATATCGAGGGGGTTGAAAAAGAGGGTAGTAAAAAGAAAGGAAGAGAAGCGGAGCAGACACGTTCATGCCTACTGAAGTTGATTCGTTTGTGGTGGAATAGTTATGGTATCACGGCTTAGTCTAGTTCTCTTTTATTGATGTAATTTTTAAGCAAGAGCATCTTAGTAAGTTAAAGAAAACCGGCGTAAATATTGTATGATTGGACAAAGAACTGTATAAATGAAAGTGGTTCAAAAAGATTAAGGTATAAGATTATGTGTAGTTTTAAAATATAGTACTGAAAATGGCATTCTGATACACAAATGGCTATCGCCCTTCTTTGTCAGGGCTGTTTCAGCTCATTTTTACCTTTATTGATTTTACGGGGTCATGATCAGGCTTTGTTTTTAGTGAACTGTCTAGTGTTGTTTGTAATAGGATTACTCGGTAGGAAATGAAACTGATTCAGCGTTACAAACACGATTTGAAGAGGTATTTTGAATAATAAATTAGCATCAATACCACTACCTCGTGACATTACACTAGACCATAATGAGACGTAATTAAACAAAGTGTTCTGCCTTACACACATGGGTGGATTGAAGTTATCTCTCAAACATCATATTTGCTGGTCAATAACTCCACCCTTCTTTCGTGATGTTAGGCTCTCTTATGTTTGTGGTGTGTATGAATATTGCTTTAATCTAGGCCTATTGTTGGAATATATTATTTACCAGTTCCGTGTTACCAGCGAACCAAATGGGTAAAGCCTCTGTATCAGAGGCTTTTTTTGAAGAAACCCGAAATGGTTTCTTCACAACACTTATGTACCCATAAGATGTTTGTGAATAATAATAATAATAATAATAATAATGGGCTAGATATCCATTTAGTATATCACACTGCTATGACGATAACTAGTGGTGTAAGTTATAAGATACTGATCAGATTATATATCGTTTGATAATGTCAAGACAGTCAGCAAATCAAAGAATTTGAGAGTATAGGATTGCAATTTTTCAGAGTGAGAAAACAAAACATTGAGCAACTCACAATAGTTTAGGACATTATGAGCTACTTATGATCGGC